ACCTCTATTTTTCACGATGCTTATTTTTATTACTTTCGAAAACAATGCAATTGGTATGAATTGGACATTAAAATTAAAAACGAATTTCCACATGTCCAAACTTTCAGAAGTAAGTTCTCTGTGGTATCCTGATAAGCCAAGGTTTGGATTTTCTGTCAAATTCTTTTAAGTCAGACATAGCCCAGCTTAAATCACTTAGTGTGGGAAAAAAGTGAAGCGTACACCTGAAAAACGTGCGTTTCAAAGTAACAAACAAATTCGCTTTTTTTTCACAGAGTACTTAGATGTTTATTTTCACTGTCTACAAGATTGCCAAAGGGAAACCGTGCATTTGATACTGCTAAGGTCAGAACAAGTTAGGGCGTAGGGAACGTATTGCTCGTTCGTTTGCTTTTGAAAACGGCCTTCTAGAACTTCCAGCCATTTCAGTTCTGATTCTCCCGACCCACAAGCCGTGTAGATTATTCGTGCTTTTCTTTGTATCATGTAAATATTTTATCGTACATTAAAATTATGGGAAATCGTGGTATTTTTATGATTTCAAACTTAGAATCTGCAGGCTTGAGAATGACGTGAAATCTGACTGTTCTCTCTCAAACAGGACCAAATGTCATCATTAAGATTAAAAAAAGCCAGGATTCCTGTGTACTGTCCACCGACCCGGGTTACTTGTGAGGGACTTGACTGGGGAAAGAGCTGGCAGAAAATTTTCAAGGTGGACAACGTTATTTTAGGCAGTGCGTTCCCTATTTTCCAAACCTCTTTGTAAACCTAAGGAAGCTTGTATATACCAGAATGCCGTTATGATGGATATGCTGTCCTTTGCTATTATTATAGCTGTGAAAACCCTTTTTCAATCAAAATGCTGTATTTGCACTTTTCAAAAACGTTTTCTCCTAATAGATCCAACACCAGGCCCTGGAGACAGCCCTGGAGGCCTGGGGCCGACACCTGCCATTGGGCTGGCGTCAGTCAAGTGATGGGCGCCGCACCGCCCTCCCCTGTCAGTGAGGCAGCGCCCCCTGGTGGACTGACGAGGGCAGGTTAGGACGGGAGCGCCGTGAGTCCAAGGAGGAAGGGATTTCCTACCCTGCTCTTGATAGACACATGTCACTCGCCTCACTGTCATACTTCCCTCTGTACATGCAAATTATCCTACAGCGCCAGATAGGAATTCTCCGGAATCTGAAATGTTTGGTCTCCAAAATGAAAACTACAGACTCTTAACTGAAATCCCATGCAATGTAATGTATTGGCTCACCGACCTGGAAAAACCAGCAAACTCTGTGCGCTTTTTGACACAGAGTTCGAGGGAAGAGGAAGAGGGATCATCCTAAAGTTCCTCCAGTCACACAGAACCAACCCCGAGGCACCCAGCACCGGCTGTTTGGTTCAGAGATGCTGCATCATATTCCCATGAGGGCATGATAGAATTCAGGTCATCATCATCTGCCAGGAAAGGAGGAGGTTTGATATTTTTACAGACCAATGCCATTTGCGGACTATAAAATGGTGTGGGAATTTCTCCTTTACCTGGCCTAGTCTATAGGTGAAAACACCAAGGCCCAGAGAGGATACAAAGCATTCCCTGAGATCACACAGTAGGCTAGAGTGTGGACCAAGTGTTTACACCCCTGAAACCATAACTCATGTGGTCCCTGCTTGATCTACCCTGATTTTGTTTTCTTTTTAAAAAATTCGCAGAAGTTCCTTTAAGAATCTGCAACCCACATTTTTTCATTTACCTCTGAGAAGGATGCTGCAGAATCCGCGTCCCCCATGGCAGAGAAGAGTGTGTGCCTTGGGCTTTACCACTTGGGGAAGAGCAGCTCAAACACGGCCATTTAAAGAAATTCACTGAAATGATAGGGTCTTTTTCTCACAAAGACGGCCTTTCCTAGACACAAGGTGAGAGCAAAGAAGGCACCAGCAGAGCACCGGGAACCCAAAGGACCTTGTGAAATCTGAAGGCCACTTCAGCCCAGCACCTGAAGCCATCAGACACTGTCAGGAGGCATCTCGCTGGGGCAAGAGGGAGCGTGCTCTTAGGCAGAGGCCCTCTTTGTCTCTGTGACTTGTGCCACCTGAGAAAGGATTAAAAGGGAGGGTCCAAAGGCTTCAGCAGGAATGTGGAAGGTTCCTCCTCCCCAAAGACACAATCAACCTAATTCTAAGAAACCCCGAGGCTAGGATTTGAGAGAGGGAAAGAGCCGCCTCTGCCACTTACTGTGAAATGTGTTTCCAAGTTAGTTTTCTCTGACTGTGCTAAGCTTTGGACAGGCTTTGTCTTACTCTAAGCGAAAAAGTAAAGAGTACAACAAAAGTAAAGAGAAAAAGTTTGTGCTGAGGGAAAGCATGCGCTTTGCTCTTAGAGTCTATTTTCCATATTCTCGGAAAAGTTATGCATCTGGAAACGCAATGGCGTTGTTCCTTTACACAAATGGATGTGGGCTACAACAAGCTGGATTGAACTGAGTAGGACACTGGAGATTTTCTTTAAATCTGTAATGTTATTATAATTCTTGAAAAAAGTATCTTTTTTGTTAATACAAACATAGGAGAAGGTGGTGGTGTTCAAGGAATAGGAGTTTGACAGCATTTTTTAAGTAAGAGCTCAGAGAAGTCATGGAAGGCATTCTTAAAAAATACTTTTGAGGAAACTAAATATCTGGATTATCTCAAAATATTCATTAGGAGCATTTCATGAAGGAATAGAGTGAGGTGGGAAGGAAAGGAGCAGAACCAAGAGGCCCATATTAAAGGCATGCTGGGCTCAAAGCAGGCCCTGGATGCGGGAGAACCTCGAAGCCCTGGGGGGTGTGTGAAGAGGGGTCTGTGGGCATCCGCTGCACCTGTCCTGGGACAGGAATCAGAACCACCCAGTAACACATCAAGCTCACCTGCCTTTCTTCGGTTGATGATTGGCACCCTATTTAACTTTTCTTTTTCTCTCTCCGGCCTTCTGGAGACTTCTGAGCAAGCTGTGATACGGGCCCGGTCCGTGCTGATGCTTCCGTGTCTCCACGTGATCTGCAAACCCCTCTGCTAAAAAGGCCCATATTAAAGGCATGCTGGGCTCAAAGCCCTCTGGGGCTGCACGTGCTCCACCTGTCTTGACCTTGCATGCACACTGTTTGGAAAAGACGCTTTTTCTGATACTTTCAGAATAGAAAGGCATCATCAGAAGGAAGTATTTGTGAAGTGCTTGAAAGTCCTCTCATACTTTCCATCCAGAAGGACTGAAGTCTTCGTCAAAGTGAAGGTAAAGTACATCACAGTCACTGGACCCCAGGCTACATGGAGTCTGGCATTGTCTTAGAAGAAACTATGCAGCCCTCCCTATCAGCACAGCAAAGAGTTTTTAAAGAGATCATTTTGCTTACTAAGCCTGATCTACAGTGGCAGAGTATAGAGATACATTTCTTTTTACTCTTCACAAAAGACTGGATTAATGTTGAACTAAAAATTTATTACTAAAGTTCTCCTTTCACTACCTTTTCTGTTTCTCTGTCTTTTTCATTCTTTCTTGTGTGAAAAGCACAGGGGCAAGCTAAGGCTGTGAAATTCAGATCTCTATCTCCTTTCTTTCTTTGTCTTTGCTCCCTTTCTTCTTTCCTTCCTTTCCCTCCCTCCCTCCCTTCCTTCATTCCTTCCTTTTTTTCCTTTTCTCTTTTTTCTTTCTCTCTTTCTGTGTGAGAAGCCTAGGGACATTCTAGCTACGACTGTTGAATTCAAGTCTTTCTCTGTCAACACGGGCTGCTTGCACATGTGACATGGCAGAGACAGTCTGATGAGAGTCCAGTGCTGGTGGACACTCAGGTTGCATTAATGAGGGAGACACACACCGTGCGTCACAAAACGTTATACAGTGAGAGCCATGAGAATCAAATAAATCATGCTGGAAGGCATTTGCCTTTTCAGGATGAGACATGAAGTTTCTGCTCAAAGTGGGTTTCCTCGGGCCCCTGGAGAGCTGGACACAGAAGCATTCTGAGGCATCAGTGACTGAGGTAGGGTCCTCAGCATGCCCTGGGAGGATCAGGAGGGCAGGGGAAGGAAAGACCACCAGTGGGAGTGGGCAGGTGAGAAGAGAAAGGAGACATATGGGGAAGAAGGAGAAGGCCAAGAAGGCACAGAAAGAAACTGTAAAGAGATGGTGAATCGAATGTATAAAGATTTAGGCCTCTTGGTTCTGAAACAGACAATTTAATAGAGGCCAGTGGCCCTCACAGAACCTGCCACCTTCACTGATGAAAATGTGACCCAGATCATCAATGTACTCTCCAGGCAGCACTGCAGACCTCAGCACGGGGACCCTTAGAGAAAAAGTTCCTCTGAGGCTCCACCCGTCTCCAGCCCATCATGAGGCCAGCGTGATGCAGGTCATTCGTCCTTCCTGGTCGGTGTGTGGGTGTGCAGATGCTCCAGTGAAAGGACCTGGTTACCTTCCTTCCATTATTTCACCCTGCAGAGCTCCGACAGAGCGACTGTATAGCTTTTCCTTACAGCATATCCTCATTCTTCAGGTGTTAAAATAATACGATAATATAATAGATGTTATAGTATAATAAGACATGATCATGTGTAATACAATAACTCAAATAATATAAATAAAAGTAGAATACTATATCATCATAGCATATAATATAAAAATACTATAATACACGATGTATTGTAACATATAGTAATAAAATAGAGGAGCCAAAGACTCTCCTAGGTCATGCTGATGTTATCGATCGCTAACCAAAGAAGCACTGGGCAATGGGTACCCATTGCTCCTACAGCCTCAGGGATGATTCAGACCTGGGATCTAGACGGTGCCATGGTTACGGCTTTGGTGCTGACGGTGTTCATCAGAATGACCGCTCTGGGGGTTATGACCACTGTGACACAGTGCCAAGCTAGGAAGAATGTTAAGAGCCTGGGAATTCGAATGTCGGTTCACATGGTAGCCTGAAGAACATATATTTGGAATCCTTCCAATTCTCATTCCGTCCATGGGACCGTGCTGGAGCCCATCTGCATGTGCCAGGCAGGACCCTTTTGATCCACCGCCACCGAGCTTGTCACCCCGGAGCTGGCAGGAATGTGGCTGAGCGAGACCTCTCTGCTTGCTGGAGGCCGATTTTGACGGCAGGCAGGCTGCAGTGGGGTTTCTCTTTCTCTTTGACCCTGCAGGTGCGTGCTTTGTGGGCTGGGCGTGGGGCCTGCTTTGCTGTGTTAGGACAGGGACCCAGGAAGCGGCTGTAGTGAGATCACCAGACAGAGCCCCCACCCAGTGCAGAACGCTATTCTAAAACATCTCTAAGGCAAACCTTATCTTTGCCTCTCAAAACCTTAACGATAACCAATTAATAAATTCACAAAGAAGTTCATTTTTTTTAAACAAAATTCTAGAGTTTAGAAAACTTTTCCTTATGTTACAACAAAATCCGCCTGTCTACACCCTGTGCTCGAGCTGTAGGCTATCTAAGGCTAGCTTTCTTTCTTTCTTTCTTTCTTTTTTTTTTTTGAGACGAACTCTTGCTCTGTTGCCCAGGCTAGAGTGCAATGGCGTGATCTCCGCTCACTGCAACCTCCGCCTCCTGGGTTCAAGAGATTCTCCTGCCTCAGGTTCCCAAGTAACTGGGACTATAGGCACATGCCACCACACTCAGATAATTTTTGTATTTTTAGTAGAGACGGAGTTTCACCCATCTCTTGGTCTCGATCTCGTGACCTCATGATCCACCTGTGTTAGCCTCCCAAAATGCTGGGATTACAGGCGTAAGCCACTATGCCTCACCACAAGGTTAGCTTTCTAAATTATAGTACTTCAAATATTTTGACACAGCGGGCAAGGTGGCTCATGCCTGTAATCCCAGCACTTTGCAAGGCCAGGCAGGAGGGTCACTTGAGGCCAGGAGTTCAAAACCAGTCTGGTCAACATAGCAAGACCCCATCTCTAATTTTTTTAATTAAAAAAATGTGGTTTTTTTGTTTTTTTTTTTTGAGATGGAGTTTCGCTCTTGTTACCCAGGCTGGAGTGCAATCTCGGCTCACCGCAAGCTCCGCCTCTTGGGTTCAGGCAATTCTGCCTCAGCCTCCTCAGTAGCTGAGATATAGGCATGCACCACCGTGCCCAGCTAATTTTTTGTATTTTTAGTAGAGACGGGGTTTCACCATGTTGACCAGGATGGTCTCGATCTCTTGATCTCCTGATCCACCTGCCTCAGTCTCCCAAAGTGCTGAGATTACAGGCTTGAGCCACCGCACCCAGCCCTAAAAAATGTTTTAAAAGAAAGAAAAATGTCTGAAAACAATGTAGATCAAATTCACTGGGCATGAGACCTCCCTCAAAGTTTTATACATATCACCGAGACACACAGGGCCATGTCTTCAGCCAGCCCAGCCCAGGTAGAAGGGCTTGCCCAGCCTCCTGCTGGACCTGAGCTTTTTGTGCCACATCCCACAGGAGTTCCTGATCCCTGGGAGAAAGTAGTTGCCTCCGTCTTCTTCTAGAAAGGGCAGCCACAGTGCCATATGCACATGTGCACACACCTGCATGCAGGCACACACACAGACATACCACACAGAGGCCCACACACCTGCACACACACACCACACAACACAAACACATACACAGAGCTTCGATCACCACAACGTTAGAAATCTCAGCATTCCCACTTCGTAGGGCTGAATGCAACATTAGAGAGTGGTGTCTCAGGAAGACTAGTTAAAATGTGCATGTTATTAGAATGGCAAGGAGACTCTTCAAAACAAAACAAAACAAAAAAAGCAAAAGAAACCCCCCCCCTCTCTAAAATCTAACCATCTGCCTTCTTACTGGTTTATAATTCTAGAATCTAGAGGAACCACTTGTCAACTCAAAAGCTTTCCGTTGGGCAAAATCCCAAGAGGAAAAGGTATACAGTAGAAATAGTGTTAAGGATCTAGGGAAAAACTTATAGTTGTTCTTCTTTTGTTAGCTAAATAATGTTGTTTGGTTTATATGCAGGGTTAATTTTTATTTAAAAAACATGTATGCATAAAAATTACAGAAGAATATACCAAACACCTTAAGCATATAATCTTCAGGTAATAGAAATTGTGATGATCTTTATTTCCTCTGTTATACTTTTCTGTACTGAGTGATTTTATTCCCAGTAAAATCAATTTAAGATAAAAAAAAAAAAGAAATAGTGTTAGGACGAGTTAGTGAGTAATGAAAAGAAACATAAAGGAAAAAGCACTGATTCTGCCAATAATTTCCACCTTGAACCTCAAAAGCCACTTATTTTTCAGAGCCTCAGTTTCCTCTGAATGAAATTAGAGTATTGAACCCGGTGGACTTGACACCCCCTTCCAGTGCTTAAATGCTCGGTGGTTGTTATTAAGCCTGCAGTTCAGTGGGGGAGATAAGGAGTCACAAAAGATGAAAAGTAGCCCTGAATTCATGTGAGTGCCTAGAAAATGCTGACTAAGTAAATAAAGAAGAACATGATATGCTTCAAAGTTTTTCTTTGTAAACGAACCTTCCTTTAATTATCAACCCAAGTAATCCAAGTCCTCCTGTGAAAAATTGTATGCATGCCTCAAATGCTATTCTTTGAGCACTAATTGCCAGTTGTGTAATCACTTTTAAGATTTTCTTTTATGTCTCGGTCATATTTTTATAAACGCCCTCTGTGACAGCAAACCGTCATCCCACGTGGACTTGCCTGTGCTGCTAAGGAAAAGCCATTCAAAGAGAGATCATGAATGTAAGTTACTCTTTTTTTTTTTTTTTTTTAAATTTTTTATTGGATTATAGGTTTTGGGGTACATGAGCAGAGCATGCAAGACAGTTGCATAGGTACACACATGGCAGTGTGCTTTGCTTTTCTTCTCCCCTTCACCCACATTTGGCATTTCTCCCCAGGCTATCCCTCCCCACCTCCCCCTCCCACTGGCCCTCCCCTTTTCCCCCCAATAGACCCCAGTGTTTAGTACTCCCCTTTCTGTGTCCATGTGTTCTCATTTTTCATCACCCACCTATGAGTGAGAATATGCGGTGTTTCATTTTCTGTTCTTGTGTCAGTCTGCTGAGAATGATGTTCTCCAGATTCATCCATGTCCCTACAAACGACACGAACTCATCATTTCTGATTGCTGCATAATCTTATTTGACTCCCGCTTGTTAACTGAGTCTGAACCAGAATTTCTAAAGTTGTTTAGAGCAGTGAGGGCAGAGTTGAAACTAGCGTGTACCCCTTACCGAAGCAGCAGCCCCCAGATAGCCTGGAGCATCACCTCACACCCTGGAGAGGCGAAAAAGCGTGTCTGCAAAATGGAACTGGAGATTACGGATTTTAACTGAGCATTTTAATAACTCCGTTGCTCATATTAAGGAAAACTCCACTGATACACAGATTGTGTCAATACTTCTTTTACTAAAAGTTGTGAACATCTTAACAATCACAAATGAAAGCGTTAACACAGAGAAGATGTGAAGAACGAACTCTCCCGGTTCTACAAGCGCTGTCATTCTATTCCCAACACCTGTAAGTATCTTCCATCGTGAGCATTATGAATGCCTTTGAAGGCTCGGCAAATAATTTTCTAAACTCCATGAGAAAGCAGAGCTTCAGGGAGAGGGATCCAGGCTGGAGTCCAGAGCTTACACCTTATTAACACGTATGCGCCGAACAACAAGTGATGTAACTTAAGGTTAAGAAGCCTAAGAGACTGTTTTACGAATTACCATGTGTGTAGTAGTCAGTAAAATTTCAAACAATATTTACTGCATACTGTGTGGAATAACTATTCAGGTCAAGTTAAAATTAAAATACAGAAACAAAGCAGAGAGAGAGAGAGAGAGAGAGAGAGAGAGAGAGAGAGAGAGAGAGACAGGAAAACCCCGCCCACTGACTCTTCGGCATTCCTGCCATGGAGCTGAGTGAGGAAAGAGCTCATGTCGCAAAGCAAAGACACATCAGCTCCAACAACAAAAGCCAAACATCTGTCTACAGAAGAGCCCTTTCCAGCTGTTGTGAGTGAGCCTGTGTTTGAAGCAGAGAATAAGATCTGAAACCCCACACTTCTCTCCCCTCAATCAGCCATCACAGCATTAACATTCCAAAAGGGGGCACCTACTACAGGCCTCTAATGATTATTTTTTTAAGTGCACTTTACACATCCTCCCACAGCCCCAGCACTGTGCTGGAAAGATGACCCTTTTCCTGCCTGTCAGCCACAGGTACAGAAAGCCCCTTGTCCAGACTCAGGAGAAACAACAAGAGCTGGTGAACTCTCTGCCTTGAGCCATCCCTGGGAGAATGCACCAGGCTTTGTCTTCCTTGGGACAAAGGCCCCTCTCTCCCAGGGGGCCGGGGTGCCACCAAATCGAGGCATGGATTTAGACTCCATGGGATTGGAGTTCATTCAGAAAATTGGTTTTTGGAGCCTTATCTGACATTTCCAGCCAGGAACCCAAAAGGCCATCCTGCCCTTCTGTGGGAAGCCCAAGTTATAGAAGTTACAGAAACAATCCCAGGGGAGAAACATAGTTTTTCTAACTTCTGTGACTACACTGTGGGAGGCACTGCTCACTGTACAGGAGCACTTGAGAGGATAATGAGGTGTTTCTTTTACCTGTAACCAAAAGAAAAGCGTCAGTTAATGAATACATGCATACACAGAGCTCCCTTTGCCTTCAACGTGTTTTTACGAAGAGGATAGTGCTTAGGTAGATTTATAGAAACTACCTATGAGGTTTTGAAGATAAGTTACGTCATATATTACTTCCCAATATGGGAAAATGTGGATGGAATTAAGACCTCAAAACTATCGCTGCAATTCAGTTTATCAACTTTCAGGGGAAATAAGAAACACAGAAGTCTTTCTCCTGTGGTCATCTTCTTTAAACGTGTTTTCATTAGTATCTTTACAACATTCCTACCTTTTTAAGACCATATTCTTTCTTCAGGTATTCATCCTGCAGATATTTGCTCATTTAACATAGGTGTGTCTGCCTATTAAAATAATAGGATATATTTTTTCTTAAGGTTTGCTGTGATTAAATGCAAGAGCCGCCTCTTTTAAAGTAGGTATCAAAACCTGGAGTAGGTGTCATCAGAAACCACAAATTCCAGGGTATAATGAAATTGGAATTGGGACATTACCTCCTGAAACTTGTTTCTGAAAAAGACGGAACTTCCAAAGTGTTTCTCCTGTGCCTGTTTTCTCTCGTAGGCCTGTGTTTGAGGGGTGAGGGAAGTATTTTCACCCTTGCCCCTGGAAATGAACACTGCAGCTCCTGAAAGACTCTCTGATGGTTCCTTTCGTTTTTCTCTCAGGAAGTATTGACTTGAGCACCTCCTCTGTTCATGCCCGTGTTCTATTAATACTTACTACAGAGACACAGATGAAATGAGTGGCTGTTCAATACAGAGAAACACGTGCAGATAAGAGTTTACAGGTTTATTTTAACAACTTTCCAGAGACTTTTAAACCTATTTTCTCTTTCATTCCTCAAGGTTGCCCTGTAGAACAGGTTGGGAAATATTTTTAAGGTCACTTGACAGATGAAGAAATTCAGGGAACGCCATTAGATGCCTCGGGGTCACAGAACGCGTCGTGCAGAGCTTGGAATCCAGATTGGCTCCAGTTGCTGTTCTTTACAGAGAGTGGGCTGCCTCGAGGTTAAAAAAAAAAAAGAGGGAAAACTGCCTGACTTCTTGAGCCATTAATTAACCCCTTTCCTCTGCAAAGTGGTCCTTCTCCAGTCCCCACCTCTGGAGAAGGTAGGCGCTTCTCTTTCCTACGGTGCTACAGAGCTCTCACAGCAGTGCAAAAGTCCAATTCTCCTATAAAAGCACCAATGCAGAAAGCAAACCTTGAAACAGTTTCCAACCCAACATGAAAAAAAAATAACCTTGTTCTTACTCCTCCCCCCTGCTTCCTCTCCAACTGAGCCGCTCACTGAAAGCCTGTTCGGGTCTCATTCTATTTCTCCTCCTCATTGTTCACCCCGCATGCTTGTGCATGTGCGCACGTGTGTGTGTACATATACATTAGTATCCTCCCACATCCCAAATACCAAGCCCTTCCTTCCCCTCATTGAAGGACTTTTTTGAATTCTGATTCAAGCAGGAAACTGACCCAGACCAGGCCGCCCGCGACATTTTCTATTTTTACCCCGACTTTCTTATACCGTTAGAACTTATGATCTATTTCAACTTTCAAAGCCTATTTCAAAATAAATAGAATCCCTCATGTCCCACCATAAAGGTTGTGCAAAATCATAAAATATAGGCAATGGAATTAGGGTAACAAGTTAACATGCGAGATCAGCTAACATTTCAGATGATGTGTGTATGTTTTTGTGTGTCTGTGTCTGTGTGTGTATAAAATGCATGGGTGTATATGTAATGGGTTCATATGTAATTTTATAATACACACACAAAATACCATCACATGCTACATCAGTGTGAGCTGTGTCAACTGCATCAGGCAAGAGTCCCCTCTGATAGTACACAGCTTACAGGGCAGTGAGTGGATGTGGCTTTGTCGTTCTTTGTGGTTTACTGTGAGGTAAATTGAAAATAACCTTGAAATACACATAATTGACTTGTTAAAAACAAACAAACAAAAAAAAACTATGTATTGGCTGGGCATGGTGGCTCAGGCCTATAATCCCAGCACTTTGGGAGGCTGAGGAGGGTGGATTATCTGAGGTCAGGAGTTCAAGATCAGACTGGCCAACATGGTGAAACCCTGTCTCAACAAAAACGTAAAAATTAGCTGAGCCTGATGGCAGGTGCCTGTAATCCCAGCTACTCAGGAGGCTAGAGTGGAAGAATCACTGAAACTCAGGAGGTGGAGGTTGCAGTGAGCCGAGATGGTGCCGTCGCACTCCAGCCTGGGTGACAGGTGAGACTCCGTCTCAAAACTAACTAAATAAATAAATATAAGAAAAACTATGTATTAATAACGCTAGAGAAGAAACTAACCTACTTAAGGTAATCTGTGTAACTTTGGAAGAAAACTTGTATGCACAAAATCTCAGGGCGACTGACCCACATCCCTGACCATTTACTCAGCTGTGAACTTTTCATGCACAGAGAATAAACTGTTTTACTTAAGCCCCAGTATTTTTGGATGTCTTTGTGACAGTAGCTCAGCCAGTATCTTAAGTTACATAAAAATCGGTTCCTGGGTGGAAGGTGCTGCTAGGAAACTGAAATAAGTGACATCAGTGTACTAGTCACATGGAGGTCAGTGTAACCATGGATATGCTTACTGTGAATCCGTGCTGCTGAAATATGACAAAATATTACCACATTAATAGAATACCAAAAAAAAATCCAAACTGGCTTCTAAAGTAACTCAAGATACTGAAAATATAGCCCGAAGAAAGAATTGTGGAAATTCAGAATATAGGTATGGGTTGACTGTTCCTTGCTTCTCTTAGTAATAAGGGTCAAAGAGAGATACGTGCACAGGTTAAAACAAGGTCATCTTCAAGCAGGGATTAATAAAATGAATAGAGCTCTCTTCATTGATACTTTTCTGCCCAGCAGCCTAAGGGGATTGAGAGTTCAGAAATGTGGGTTTCTAGAGGGTATAAAATGAGTACATTGGTATTTTCCCAAGACCAACTGTGTCTCACGTGTTCTTCCAGGGCGGGTGGATGCATGGTTAACTTTCGCAATTAATCTTTACTTCCATTTTCTTCACCCTGATAGTAAAGATAATAATGTTTATTGTATAAATCATTGTTAA